ACTCTCTGACCCTACACCATACACACACAAGACACAGGGTCCAAACACTGTTTGACCCTACACCATACACACACACAAGACACAAGTCCAAACACTCTTTGACCCTACACCTTACAAACACAATACAGAGGCCCAAACACTCTCTGACCCTACACCATACACACACAAGACACAGGCCCAACCACTCTCTGACCCTACACCATACACACAAGACACAGGTCCAAACACTCTTTGACCCTACACCATACACACACAAGACACAGGCCCAACCACTCTCTGACCCTACACCATACACACAAGACACAGGCCCAACCACTCTCTGACCCTACACCATACACACAAGACACAGGCCCAAACACTCTCTGACCCTACACCATACACACACAAGACCCAGACCCAAAAGTGCCATTTGTAATTTGTAATTTTAATGACATGATCTTTTAATAATCGGATACCTTCTGCATTACGTTTTTATCACATTTTTATAGTTATTCATTGTTTTGACCCATTTCTTAAAAGATTTGTAGTTTCCTGAACCCGTGCGCATTTGGCAAAGGTCACGTCCGTTGGATTTGCAAAGTGGAGCCTGCATATCACCCACATGTACAGTAATCGTCTTCATTATAGAAGGAGCACATATGAATCGTGAAGCCGTTCGCGCACTGGCCCTGGATCCTTCTCATCCGTCGGTTTACAGCGATGACTGACAGAGCGTGAGGAGAAAATGATGCACAGTGGGACGCCCCGGAGAAAGACGGCCTGAAAATGAAATGAGGACAAACCCACCCACTACCACCGTCCTCCTCCTATGTATTTCCATCTCTCGCTCGCTTTAAGGTGGATTTTGTGTTTCTCGAGTATAGTACAGCATGGGTTGCCGAGACAAATAAGTTGGATAACAATTTGGGCTGTACTCATTATAGGCTGTTTTTTTAACCCTTGTATTATGTTGAAAAAAAATGACATTGATTATGTTGCGGGTCATTTTGACCCGTACTGTGCAAATGCACTCAAAATAGTCAAGAAAATAGGTTAAACCAATAACAACTTTATTTTAGGTTATATAAATATTTAGAAAAGTGACATACAATACATTTTTAATTCCAACGCTATATTTAAGAAATATTTAGTCTAATCCTCTTGTCCTCCTCTCGGGTCAAAATGACAATTCTTTCCTCCTGCCATGCTTTCTCCTTCCTTTTTCTCATCCTGTTTTCCTTCTCTCTGTTCATCCTCATCTATTCCCTTCTTTTCTCTTCCTTCCTTTTTCCCTTCCTTCCTTCCTACCTTCCGTACGTCCTCCCTTCCTCTTTCCTTGACCAAAGATTCGTCCTCTGAATCCTCCTTATCGTAGGAAAATTGACAATCTGGATCAGCAATAACATTGTCCTCTGTCTCTGAAAAATCCTCTGTTTCTGAAATCTCTTCCTCTACATCATTATCCCAGTAAAAAAATCTGTGATAAAGCCTCCTCAGATGTCATCCTTCTGGAGCTCATTTTTGGTGAGTTTGTCTAAAGCCTAGCGTACATCGGCAGAGTAACTGGAGACAACTAGTTGCGAGGCGGCTTTTGGCAACTGAGAGGAGATGATGGAGATGATCAGATGAAATCGGTCGATGAGAGCGCTCTTACAACTGGAGATAAACAGTCAATCTCCAGTTTCAGTCAGTTGCCCGTGTTCTACTTTTCGGCAACTAGTTGTCCTCAGATCCGGAGATATCACCGATGTGTGCGCTCCAACAACATGTGTGTATTGCGTGTATTGGGCCCTCTACAGTTTATGTCAGAAAACACACTGTAGTTGAGGCCAGTTGCTGTCGATGTACGCGCTGTTATTCCCAAGACTGGTATGTACAGGAGTTGCCTGTTTTCGCCAGATTGTTGCTGTGTGTGGGGCAGCAACTCATATGCGACGGATATAATGAGTTGCCAGTCTGATGTACGCTAGGTATAAAGAGATGACATGAGAACAGTGACAAGGACAAGTGTGAGAAAGTTCCCTCTCTTCACACACCTGGCTCTGGGTCTCAGAGGCAATCAAAATAAAATGTCAAAGAGATTTTTGGATCTGAACAACTATTTACCCACATTAAAGCGTCTGGGTCAAAATGACCCGCAACATCATCTTTGTATACAAACTCTGCACAGACATTCCACTACACATCAAAGTGTCCAGGTTTTACACACCAGTTCATGACCCTAGATGAGGAAAAGTCACCAAATTTCAGCAAGAAAAAGAAAGGATAACCAGTAGTTTGATCAACTCAAAAACTGAAATGGGTCAAATTGACCCTTAACATAATACAAGGGTTAAGCGTAACGTTGCACAAATGAAAACTGGAAATTATTCAAAGCAACCAAAAACAAGACAAATGTCAAATATGTCCATTCAAAATAAGAAAATGCACAAACCTTCCACTGTCTAACTATTTATACATACAATATAAAAGCATGATGAAAAATACATTTTCACTTAGGATGTAACCTGAAACTTTGGACAGCACAGTCAGAAATGTTCAATCTATGATAAATGGTTTTGGACAAATCAAGATTTCAGGTGGTACTGTATATGCACTGGAATGCCATTTCTCTTATATTTGGTACAAGTTAAGACTACATAGGTTATGACTAGTATTGTGTTTTCCTACAATTCAACAAAGCTTTTCTTGTTTGGCAAATTTGACTTCAAAGTGCAAATGTTATTTTTTGATGCTAATTTATACAGCGCCTTGAAATGGGAGTGGGGTCGCTGAACAGGAGGCACATGTTGAGCCTATTGGGACATATTTTTAGTGACCTACGCAGACACGGAGAGAACATGCAAACTCCACACAGAAAGGCCTAGAGGTGGAATAGAAGCCAGGACTTTCTTGCTGTGAGGCACAAGCACTAACCACAGCCCTACCGAGCCGCCCAGTAGTATAAGTATACATGTATAAGTGAACAATAACTCTATACTAAAATAAAATAAAATCTCTAACTTTGGCATAACAAAGAAGCAAGTCTAAAATCGTCAACTTTAGTTTAGTAAAAAACAAAGAGTTAAGTATAAAATTACGTACCCCAGCTTTAAATTGTGCATTCATTGCAAACCGTGGACAACTCTCTGAATCGACATTGTGGTAAAAACAAGTCGCTCTTTGCTCTGGAGTTGTATTTTTTACATCCACTGGCCGCCAAAGCACCCGGACATGATCAAACACTGGAAATATTAGTTCACTCCGTGCTATTTTGTCATTCTCGCACTGTTTACCAACCTCTAGGGAGCTGAGCCGACTTATTGGCCCAGGGACCAAATTGGCTCATCGATCCAGTCTTTTTACCCACCAACTCAAATATTTCTGCTTTGTTCTCGCCCCCATTAGTCTTAAAGGCCAAGAGTTGCACTTAGATCAGTTTGGTCAGCCACAAGAAAAATCCCTTTGAATTGCTGTGGGAGTTTTTCTGTTTTTCTCATGCTGGACATTGGGGCTTTTCACACTTCAGTCACTGTCACAAACAATGTAGAAGGCGAGAAAACAGCAGTGGTTACAATAAACCCACTGAAATACAAAAAGGATATAATTAAGTTTCAGGCTGTAATTTGAAATAACCTTTCTTTTCATTCAGTAAATGTGTGTCACTATAGAAAACATTTAGTTTGTTAGTAAAGCTCGATTATTTTTAGGAGACTATAGTAGCTTCTCTTTTGGGTTGTCTCTAGATTTTTTTAGTCTACATCTATTCAGCACTGACTACTAGACCGTGTGTAAATACTTTCAATTTGTAAATACATTCAATTCTGACTATTTTAGGGGAATCCACTGTGTGTGATGTTTCTGTCTGTAACATAAACTCTTCTGTTTTGTTCTGGCGGTAACACAAACTGTTGTAGTGCTGTAAAACAGATCTACGTTAAAGCTGGAGTACCTAACTTTTTGGTTTCATAAATGCGTTTTGTGTGTCCCAACAGAGAGAGTTTTGTTTTAGTCACTTTTTTAGAATCAAATAAGACCACGACATTCTGTCTTGAGTCCTGGATATTTACCCCAACCATCTGTGGGAGCGGATCCCTCCCTCAACGTGGTCCTCCCTGAGGTTTTCTTATTTTCTCCCACTGAGTTTTTCCTTGTGGATGCAGTAGGATGAAAGGACAGTGGTGATGACTGGACATCGGTCATCTACCCTCTTTGGACCAATGGCTTTCTGGGTTTTCATTACATTTCTTGTGTTTGCACTGTTTGATTCTCTGATTTGTGTTGGCACATTCAATAGTTTTGTAAAGTCCTCCGAGATAACTGCTGTGATTTAGTGCTATACAAGAATACAAGGGGCAACAGTAGCTCAGTTGGTAGAGCATTGGCCTTCAGGCCTGAAGGTCGTGGGTTCAATTCCCACCTCTGCACCTTCTCCACCGACTCCCACTGATGACTGCTGTCGTTGTGTCCTTGGGCAAGACACTTAACCCCACTTTGCCCCAAGCCCCCACTGAAAGATCAAGGCTATGCTCACACTCAGAGAGCAGCCGTCCTCCTGTGGACTCACCACCTGCAGAGGGTCAGTGAGGGGCTGGTGCTATGAGACTTGGGTGGCATCTCTGACTGCCACCCCCCTGACCCAGAAATGGATTAAAGGGTAGAAAATGGATGGATGGATGGACAAGAATACAAGAATACATGTTTGTGTTTTCTATATTTCCATTTAAAACACAGACGCAATATTTTTACAAACTCAGAGCTGATCAACTGAGTGATGATTTTACACTTAAAGCCATGGCCAAAAATGCATGCATTCTAGAGATATAGGAACTGTTTTTAGAGCTAGGAACTAGATAGAATTGAATAAATTTTCAAAGTAAGGTTCTCCATCTTTAATGTAAAGCTGGAACCTTGCTAATCTTTATGGGGATTTCACCTTGTTAATATGAGATGATATAATAAAGAATATATTTTCAGTTTAGATTTTGTGAGTGCCAAAAACCTTGATAAAATGTTAATGCTCATTGATTACTTGATTACAGATCTTCCAAGGCTTCCTGTGTGTCGTGTATAACCTTGGGGACGGGGACTACAACCTGACCCTGCCCACGTACCGGCTGGACAACGGCGAATGGCACGAGGTGTTCTTGGATCGCCATGACAATGAGATGACGCTGCGATTGGATGGAGGCGGCGGTCAGCGGGAGGTCACGGGCTCGCGTGGTCGGAGCAAGGAAATCGTTATTGACCCCAGCGTGATCATACTCGGAAATACGGTTCCCTCAGGACTTAACAAGAGCTTTCAGGGTAGGCTTAAACATGCTTTACACATTTACACTGGAATTAACCTTTCAGGGCTTTCCAACCTGCTTTCACACCTGCTTTCCACTGCTCAAAGGTCACTTTTAATTATTGTAACATCAGGTGTAAGGGAAATATATATTCAGCACACTTTGCATTATAAAATCTTATTTTTTTCTCTCTGGAAGCAGCTGGGACAGAGAGAAAAAGACGAAGGGCAACAAGTCCAGACAACAAAAAAGTACATGTGCAGATCGGATGGTAGAAAAAATATGTGCTTTTAAACCTTGAAATAGAGCACACAGCAGTGAAGAGCAGGTGCACTCATCTTCATAGTGTCCTTCTGTCTGGCTCTGACATTGTACAGAGCACTGGGTGTTGTATCTCGGAATTATCATGCTAATCAATCATTTATTGATATTGCACAATTTGTGTAGAAGGCAATTCAAAGTGCAAGAGGGACAGAAGCAATAAATAGTTCAAAATAGAATGTATTAACAAGGTGGCATTCAGATAGATAGATAGATAGATACTTTATTGATCCCCGTTGGAGAAATTCAGGTGTCCAGTAGCAGCAAAAATAAAAAATAAAATTGATTATTCTAAAAAGTTAAGAATAGTAATAATCAGCAACTTCAGGTCACAGCATTCAGGCATTACTGTATATATCCTCTTAGATCATTACATTACAGTTCACAGTACATTCAAATTAAAAGTAAAAATATAAATTCCCTCGGTTGTATGCACAGCTAAACAGAACTGTTTTTAACCTGGATTTAAACTGTGTCAGAGTAGAGGCCTGTCTCACCTTTTCAGGAAGATTGTTCCAGATTTTAGTTGTACAAAGGTTGAGATCATGAACTTTAGAAAATCACATAAGTCGTTATATATAAAAATGATGCAGTAAATGATGCCTTTGTATGTATGCAAAAAACGAACATTATTACAGGCAGTTAGGTCAACTATTCGTCAGCCATCAGGAAACATCTGAAGGAAGTTGGTTGCACTCTTGTTTATCAAGTTAACACATGTTTCAGGTTTGTCATTCACATTTTGGTCACGGCCCTGATGTAACAATCTTTGGACTTAATTTTTTTTTTTTTTTTTTTTATTTGGGCATTTAGAAGACAAAAGAATAATAATGTGAAGAAGAAAAAAATAAATAAAAATAGCCCAAAAGGGAGTTGGCAGAAGCTGAAACAGCTTATCTGGGCCTACCCCCTATTGCTAATCAAATGCATAACACTTACACATACATACCTTGATATATACATAATTCACATACGTACATTAATATAATACACATTTATCCATACACATATATACACATACATATATACATACACACACATATATACACATAGATATACATATACCCACATGTACATATACATACATATAGATACACATACGTACATATCTACATATTATTTATTATGAATATTATTATGTATTATTTGATATTATTTTCAAATATTACTATTTTTTATTATTATGGTACTAAGTTTCTTTTTGTTCAATGTATTTTTCCAGAGCATTTATTTTGAAGGTTTTTTTAAATTGTTGAATAGAGATAGAGCTTTTTGAGGCCTCGTCCAGGCCATTCCAAAGCTGAACCCCCCTCACAGATATACAGTGACCCTTAATATTAGTTCTTACATTTGGTTTTTGGAAAACTTTGGAGCCTCTGAGATGGTATGTACTCTCCCTGGGTTTGAACCGGTCTTGGATACGCTGAGGCAGCAGGTGATTATGGGCCTTATACATTACAATTGCAATGTTTAGATCAACAAGATCGTAAAACTTTAGTGTTTTAGATTTAATAAACAAGGAATTAGTGTGTGCATAATAATCAGCATAATGTACGATTCTGATGGCTTTCTTTTGGAGTGTGAAAATTGATTTGGTGTTAGATTTATAATTATTACCCCATATTTCAATACAGTAATTGAGATATGGCAGTATGAAGGAATTATATAACATATTAAGTGCATCATGATTTACAGAGTTTTGTATTTTGTATAACATACCTATACTTTTTGAGAGTTTTGTCTTCAGAATGTTTATGTGCAGCTTCCAATTTAATTCATGATCTATGTTGACTCCCAAGAATTTAGTAGAATACACCCTTTCAATTTCCACATCAGATATTTGTATGTGGCATGGTGTGTCAATATTTCTGTTTCCAAAGATTATGTATTTAGTTTTATTCAAATTTATAGATAATTTGTTTGTATCAAACCACTGTTTAAGAATAACAAGTTCATTCTTGACTGTTGGAATGAGTTTCTTGAGATCTGGCCCAGAGCAGTACAGGCTTGTGTCATCAGCAAACAGTATACATTTTAACTTTTTAAACACTTTACATACATCATTAATATACATTAGAAATAGCTTAGGTCCCAATACAGAGCCTTGAGGGACTCCGTGTGTTAAGATCCTTTTATCTGAATCTGTGTTGTTTATTTGAACATACTGCTCTCTGCCACCAATTCAATTTGGAGAGACGAGAAACGAAAATGGTTTTGAGTATTTATTGAGGTGGTTTGGCGCCCTAGGCCCCGGTGCGGCCTTCAGATCGGAGAGGCTCCTGCGATGGAGCGCGTACAATCCCCCGGGACCTAGGCACTGGTGGCGGCATTTTGGCAGATTGGAGGCAGATTGGAGGCAGATTGGAGGCAGATTGGAGGCAGATTGGAGGCAGATTGGAGGCAGATTGGAGGCAGATTGGAGGCAGGTTGGAGGCAGGGTGAAGAGGAGGAGGAGGGGAGGCGGTGGTTGCGAGGCTTCGAGAAGGCAGAGAGTGGGAGTTGCTCCGCTTTTAAGCGGCTGCCTGTCCGGCACGGATGATTGGAAGGGGGCGTTTGCCGAGCGATAGGCTGGGGAAGCGAACCGGCCTGGAGGGGGTAGCTTTTGGCTGACGTCTACCAAATTGAATTTTCGCGAGCTACATTTCAATTTGGAGAGACGAGAAACGAAAATGGTTTTGAGTATTTATTGAGGTGGTTTGGCGCCCTAGGCCCCGGTGCGGCCTTCAGATCGGAGAGGCTCCTGCGATGGAGCGCGTACAATCCCCAAAAAGGCTGAGTGTGTTGATGGAGTTTTGCAGCCTGGTTTGCAGGGAACAGACGTCGTGGCTACTCTATGCTGTGACCGCTATCGCTATGCTGTGACCGCTATCGCTATGCTGTGACCGCTATCGCTATGCTGTGACCGCTATCGCTATGCTGTGACCGCTATCGCTATGCTGTGACCGCTATCGCTATGCTGTGACCGCTATCGCTATGCTGTGACCGCTATCTCTATGCTGTGAACCGTTTATGCGCTAACCATTTTTTGCTATGCTGTGACCGCTAACACTAACGCTATGACCGCTACCACTGACGCTATGACCGCTATCACTGACGCTATGACCGCTATCACTGACGCTATGACCGCTATCACTGACGCTATGACCGCTATCACTGACGCTATGACCGCTATCACTAACGCTATGACCGCTATCACTATGTGCTGTGACCGTTATATGCGGTTATCTTTGAGTGCCGGGACGTGAGCGCTCGCATCACGATCAACCGGACGCTGCGGCAGGGTTATCTTTGAGCGCTGGGACGTGAGCGCTCGCATCACAATCAACCAGACGCTGCGGCAGGGTTGTCTTTGCGCGCTGGGAACGTGAGCGCTCGCATCACGTTCCGTCAGACGCTGCGGCAGCGGAGAGTGTTTGAGAGAAGTGCGTGCCGCCACCAGAATCTTATTGGTTCACTTACTTTGCTTCGTATTGCTTTGCTGGGAGCTTACGAGGAAGCCAGTTGACGTTGTGCAGGCAGGATAGCGGACGCGTCTGGCCTGATGTAGGCGGAGAAAGCCGCAGAGGACCGGCGCCCCAGCTGTTGCAGAGAGGTGTGGGGGAGCCCCAGCGAGGCCGCGATGGTCCTGGAAATAAACCCCCCAAAACCCACGGAAGGGGCACGTCCGTGTAGAAGCCGAGACCTGGAGGGGCAGAGACATATCGGAGAGGGCCATGAAGTTGCAGGCGCCCTTACGCTTAGAATCTTGGGTTGGAGAATAGATAATCAGGATAGTAGGATGGTCGGGAAAAGCCGTGTCTCGGACCGCACGAAGGTTGAGTGTGCAGTAGTGAACGCTTATGCAGAGAAGCCATGGAAGGCGAGCAGGAAGATGCTGCGAGGAGGGCAGACATGTACTTGGAAGATGAGCCGGAGTTCAGTGCCGCTGCAGGATGGGCAGCATGATGGGGAGCCTGCGATCAGAAGAGTGAAGAACACGGTATGGATGCCTTTGATTAGGAGTCCAATTGACGGCTCAGCGCAGCTACTCGGCCAGCTGCATCTGATAGAATCAGAAGATTAAGTAGAGAGATGAAGCACGACCGCCGAAGTGACCCTGGGAGCATAGGTGCGAGTCCAGTGCCGCGCGGCATACTCGGCCGGGCTGCATCCATTAGAAGCAGGATAAGCTTCTGAGAGAGTGGGTTGCAGCAGTAGCAGTAGCAGTAGCAGCAGCGGCAGTAACCTCAGATAATACGGCAACGACCTGTATCAGCCGCGGCAGCAGCAGCTGCTGCATCCGTAGATAATAACGGCAAAACCCTGTATCAAAGCCACGGCAGTAGAATATGTTGTAGCTGTTTAGTGTTTCAGTAAGAGAAGCGAAGTGAAGAGAGATGACGAAGTACATGAAGCAGCAGCAGCACGGCAGTAGTAGCAGTATGAAGCAGCAGCGGCAGCAGTAGCAGCAGTAGCGGTAACAGTATGAAGCAGCAGAAGCAGCATTAGCAGGAGCAGCAGCACCACGAAGCGATTCATACGAACAGACAGACGTGTCACGCCGGCGTGCGCCGCTTGTCTCCGTGAGCCAGGTTACGTACGTGTCTGAAAGAGCCGAGCCACAGAGACGGGTGCAGCCTGGGAGCCTGCGGAACGGCAGCGGCACATGTAGTAGTAGGAGCAGCAGGAGCAGCAGCAGGGACAGACAGCAGCAGGAGCGGCAGCAGGAACAGGCAGCAGCAGGAGCGGCAGCAGGAACAGCAGCGGCGGGATCAGGCATCAGTAGGAACGGCAGCGGGGACCGGCAGCAGCGGCGGTCAGAGAACCAACCCACGGTTGTTTAAGAGCCTGAGGGAATAAATCAACCCGAATCCGAAACATTCCCATGCGAATAACAGACGTCCCCTGGAGCCATCTTCTGCTTTGGTTATGGCAGATGCGCATGAACGATCACTGATCCATGCGTTCATAGCTCCAACACTACTTCACACCCATTGCAGATTCACGTTTGGCCCTTTTTCTTCCTGCTGCACTTTCAAAATGCAACACTGCAGTTAGTTACCTAATTTAATACCAGCGACCTAGCTATTTAATGCATGGTTTTACTGCAAGTGGCAGAACATGATCTGAATTAATGCACATAGCTCCTCGTATATCCCTCAGACGATAGAGATTGATGCCATTTAATATGCATTGCCCCTCGGTTAGCTCAGACACATGTGAAACGGAGCCTGCAGACCAAGCTCGGGGCGAAAAAAAACTGGCGCCTGCAGTCAAGTGCGTAGGGCAAAAACCAATCGCCTGCAGCCCAGAACTCCGGGATTAATCTGTCCGCGGTCAGCACACTCACTGTACTCACATGCCAGGAGACTTGGGAAAGCAACGGGACAACGCGGCACCGCCAGACCTTCTGCGTGCGGCAGCAGACCACGAGGAACGAGCCGCACAGAAACCCGCGGAGGGCCCCGCGGAGCAGCCCGCAGAAAGAGCCCGCAGAGGAGGAGA